AAAGTTGGGGGACTAAGTTTTGCTGGTTTCGGAGTCGAGGGACCATTGCTATACTTTCGAAAGAGTTGAAGGACGAAAAATATACTTATCCCTTTTCTAAAAGGCATTAAAAAAGCGCCTCAGATTACCTCTCTTTAAAGGCATTTTGGCAAAACGCCTTCAAAGGCCCATTGTTAGCTGGCATTCTGGAAAAATGCCTCAAAACATGCTGAATTAGTGGCATTCTGAAAAACTGCTGTAATATGTAATAGTTTACAGGGCATATTGCAAAATGCTACTACAGATTGAGAGGCGTTTCCAGAAAATGACTTAATATATCAGAGTATAGGGGGCGTTTTGAAAAGTGCGAGCACGCACTTTGAAGGCATTACAGACGAAAACGCCTCGAAAGCTCGGTTATATTTTTCGATTTAGCACCTATTGTTTCAAGTATCTACCTGCACGACCTTCCACTCCAGCGACCCACCTGGCCAGTAGATACATTATAAAATCCTGGCGCTTCCTAGATTAAACAAGCAAATGTTTTTTTTTGAAAGTCGGCACTTCATTGACTAAACAACAAAGTCATACAAAGTCTCCCAGATACACTCCGGAGCATAGTTGAAAACACAAAGACCAGTAGAATTATAACAAGACCTAGCTAAAACATGAGCCAACACATTACATGGCCGACGAACATGCACAAAAGAGAATGAGGAGAAGCCCAGAGTTGCCAGCTTGATATCAGCCACGATGGAACCAACCACAGAACGATCTTGGGCTTTGGATTTCAGCCTTTGCATCAAAGAAAGGCAATCAGTGGCAAAGATCACATGGGAAAAGTGTTCTTGACGTGCCATGTCAACTGCTATGCGAAGAGCCAAAGCTTCAGCCATCTCGGGGGTGAGTGCACCAGGCAACACATCAGTACACGCCTTGATACAATGACCCATATGGTTCAGAGCTACTACACCAGCACTAGACTTGTTGGAGTTATGAAATAAAGCTGCATCAAAAAATAGCATAACTGTACCTGGAGGCGGTGGAGACCAATTTGAGCTGGAAGCAATAGTCTCACATCTATTCACAGGAACAGGTTTGTAAGCATGTTTGAAAATCATCTGAACATAACTACGAATTTTGCCTGCACTACTTCTTGGAATAGGAACTTCAGGAGTGTTTCGAGCCGAGTTTCGAGCATCCCAAATGTGCCAAATGGTTACATCCATCACAGTTGCCTCACGAGCGGAGCATCGAGATAAGAAATAAAAAAGGCACTGTTTTGGAGACCTGAATTCACCACGGCGCAGCTGGACATGAAAGAAATTCTTCACTTCATCCCACACATTTCTTGCAAAATGGCAGAAGAGCAAGGCATGCTCGATAGTCTCCAGCCGGCCGCAGAAAGCACATGCAGCAGGAGCAGGAACCTTGCGTCTACAGAGTTGTTCCCCACAAGGCAAACAGTTATGTGCAAAACGCCATAAGACGATCTTCATCTTGTTAGGTGCAATAACAGACCATATAGATTTCCACTCCTTCTCCTCCGCTGCTCTGTTAGAGGATTGGCCACGACCGCTATTACTATTTCTTTCCAGGAATCGTTTCGTCCGAGCCATGTTGTATGTCGAACGAACAGAATAATCCCCCAACCTGGTAACAGGCCAGTATGCAAAATCTGAACCTCCGTGCCTACTGATAGGAACCTGTAGGATCGCCGCCGCAATGTCCGATGCGAAGAAAGCACACACAGTCTCATCATTCCAACAACCAGTATCTTCGCCCAACAAACAATGAATTGTGGCTGACTCCGGGATTGGCGAGGTTGTCCTAATCAAGCCAGGAGGAAAGGATGGGATCCAATGATCAAACAATATACGAGTGCTTTTACCATCACCAATCCCCCAACAAATCCCTTGCTTCAAAAGATCCCGGCCATAAAGGATACTACGCCACGTGACTGATGCGGACCGAGGAGCTATAGCATTCCAAAAGTCTCCTTGAGGGAAGTATCTGCCTTTGAGAACCCGGGCACATAACGAATCTGGTTCTGTGAGTAAGCGCCATCCTTGCTTTCCAAGCATAGCTTGATTAAAAAGCGCCATATCACGGAAGCCCATTCCCCCTAGGGATTTTGGCGTAGTGAGCCACTCCCAGGATCGCCAGTGCAGCTTCTTCTTACCATTTTCCCTGCCCCACCAATGGTCTGAAATAATTTGACGGAATTTCTCACACGTAGTCACCGGAAGCTGAAAACAACTCATAATGAAAGTCGGAATTGCCCGGATAATTGATTTTAGCAAAGCTTCCAACCCTGCTCGGGACAAAGGCCTATCAGACCAACCATGTATACGCTGCCATGCCCGGAGAAATTTAAAAGTACTCGTAGGAGAATGTCCAACTTCAGTAGGCATGCCAAGGTAGGACCCATGGAAAGCTTCGTTTGTGATTCCCAACCTTGCCTTGACACGGTGCTTCACACTGTCAGGACACCTATTGCCAAAAATTATAGAGGACTTGTCCTTATTGATAAGCTGCCCCGATCCTTCACAGAATAGTTTCAGGGTGGAATCCAAAGAGGCCACACTACGAATGTCACTTCTGGCGAAGAAAATGCTGTCGTCGGCAAACAGGAGATGTGAGATAGGTGGGCCAGAGCGGCCGTTGCGGATGCCATGTAGGTCACCACAATTCTCCTTCTGTAATAACAGACTCGACAAGCCTCCTGTGCATAAAAGAAACAGGTAGGGGCTGATTGGGTCCCCCTGACGAATACCACGCGAAGGAACCACAGGTTCAGTGAGTTCACCATTAACCCTGATTGCATACCAGACATTGGTGACACATCTCATGACTGACTCAATCCAGGCCAGAGCAAAACCAAGCCGACACAAGCAGCCCTGAAGATAACTCCACTCAATACGATCATATGCCTTCTCTATTTTTTTTACGCGAGTCACTCTTCGCTCACAAAGAACTTAGCAATTTATTTAGTCCCATACCGCCTACTGATCTAAGATTTCACCTGTTTAAAAGGGGAGCCACATATCGTCTCTTAAAGATTCTAACATGTAATAGGAAAAATGACGCTGTGCAGTGTGATTCAGTATGGCGTATGGGTATGGGTATGACCTGTACATGTGTGTGTGCGTGTGCGTACAGGAATGGGATTCAATATACTGACAGACATACGGGGTGCGTACATGTGTGTGTGTACGTGTGTGTGTGACCTTGCCTCTTTTACTTTACCGGGTGCAGTTTCACAGGCGTACTTCAAAACGCCCTCAAGGATATATTGAGGCATTCTTCTAAAACGCCTTCAATTATATGAGCATCGGAGGCATTCTACCGAAGCGCCTGCAAAAACCTTTTCCTTCAAGACCATCTCTAGCATTTTTCTAAAATGCCTTCTTATGTCTTTGAGGACGCCTTTTGAGCTTTTAAAGGCATTTTTCAATGCCTCCGAATCTCTACCATGCTGTAGTGGCATAAACTACACTAATTTTGAAAAAGGCTCGCAAGGCCGCTTGACAATTTTTTTAAAGACACTACATATATTGTGCCAGTTGTAGAATAATTTTGTACCAATTTGGCAAAACAAACACCTTAAAGAAAAATGAAAAACACACAAACTTGCCATGATAAAATGGGTAATTTTCATAGTAAAGTTTGTACATATCTCATGGCAAATTACGAAAACAAAATGTTTTTCTGAATAATGGTAACTCGTACACAAATTTCTGAGGGTCACATGGCAAATTTAGGTGTTTTATTCTCAAAATAATGGTAACATTTGGTGGGAAAAATAATTGTCACATGGAAAATTTGGGAAATAGGTTTGTACTGGTCACATGACAAACTTAGAAGAAATGTTTGTTCTGGTCACATGGCACCGATGGGACAAACCTACTTGCCAAAGCTAGTACAAGCTACGAACAGTGAAAAAAATCCATGTGTTTCACCCTCCACCTCTCCCCTACCCAAAATTTGTTATGACATTTAAAAAAGGATTCGCTATGGTATGCACAATAATTTTGCCATGGTATGCCCAAAATATGTGGTGATAGAAATAATATTTAGGAAATTGTTTTCCAAAAAAGCAAGGCAACTTGTACTTTTTTTTACCTTTTCTTCTTGTTTGTTTTCTAGAGGGCAGGCTCTAGGTATTGTACATGGCAATTTCACCTTAAATTTGTCAGCAGCTTTTCTTTTGTAAGGACAAAAATATTTCTATTGCCACAAGGTACTGGGCAGTGCATATGAATACGCATGGCACCTGCATGTATACAACACTGAAAACATCTATAAAAAAAAGCTCTGAAATTGAACATGTATGCAACTACATGTACCGGCTACGTAGTTGCCACCCAGGAGACTCCGAATTTTGTTGCCTAGCACAAAAAGTAAGTTTATAATCCAATTAAGTGGCACAAGGTGAACCAACATCTTGACTAACTCTATGCGGCGGTGGAGAAAAG